CCTGAACCAAGTGCCACTACAGCAGAGCACCAAACATGAGCTACAAGGGAAAAACAGCTCTGACCTTGGCATGCATGCGCCGAGTCAGCTGACTTTAACCATCTCTCCTTCAAGTCCATAAATCAGATCTTCCCTCGAATCTCAGTCAGCCATGGTCCAAAATCCCTGCATTATTCTGGAAGTACATTTTGCAGTAACTTAAATTTCACTAGAAACACATCAGTAGCATCAAAGAGGACCTGGAAGTAATGTGCAGCGCTACTACTGGCCACAGCCCCTAGGCTGAGCAATCACTCCTCCCGACATGAAGCTCATGACTGCTTCCAGCACCTAAAGCACTACAGTGGAGGAGAAGTCTCATTCTCCAGCCCAAGGCTAACAGTACAGCTCTTAGCAGGAGAGCTGCACTCGAGCAACCTGTCCTGCAAGCAATTCCCAGCTTGGGATCCAATATGGGCATCAACCCCTTGCCTCGGGAATGTAACCAGAGAACAGAGAAACACGTTCCAGGGGCTGACAGCCCACCACACATGAATGAAAAGCTGCTGTGGAACTTGAAATGCACTGCAGTCACCCTGCCTGTACCATACAGACTTTCAGGCATGCACTCACACGGGGCTGCACATTCTTCTGCTCCCTTCCAGGTCCCTTCGAGGTTTGCCTCCACACCCCAAAGCAGTTTACGCACAGTGCATTTAAATCTGCGATTCCTGGGTTGTCGTGCTACAAAAAAACCCGTGAGCTAGTCCCAAAACAGGAAGAGTCCCATGAAACAAGGTGACCACAGGCATCCCAAAGCAAGAAAAAGCAAAGCAGCCTGCTGCAGGTGTGGGCCTGCTGCGGCTGGTGAAGCAGCAGAGTAGCTGCCTGCACTTTCACAGCACACTCAAGAACAGCGGAGCTGGCGTGTGCCAACAAACCAAGTCCCCGCTCTTATTAAAAGAAGGTTTAATGCAGAACTCCTCTCTGCCTCACTTGCCAGAGAATAACTTGCATGAATTTGCTGCCAGAGCCTGCAGCTATTTATGGCAGGGTTT